AGAAGACAAGTGTTGTGAATTGACGCTATAGAAATAAACTGAATTGCATTGAATAAATACAAATTAAACTGTTTAAAAAGCCCTTTGTCTTTGATTTCATAAAACTCCACAATACACTAGTTCTAAAAATAAAAAAGCACAATTTTTTTTCCAACTTTAATGTAGGTATATAGATGTGACTAATTAATTACTGTGTTTTGGTTGTCAGCTTATGGTCAATACACAAATAGGAAAAATGTCAAATAGAAAGAAAAGCTTCCAGAATCAACTTTGTACCAGTGAGAGGCTCTGATAAGAAGCATACAGGCTCCTTTTCCAACTTCTTTCCTTACAAACAGCACTAATCGGACAGCACTTATAATGGCGACCACTGAAGCACATTTGATTAAGAGTCTTTACCAATTGGATTAACTGGATTATGATACCGATCACACTTCCTGACATATCTGGCACTAAGAAGCTATTAGGAACAACACTATCCTGCTGCGTTAAAGCGCAGCTCAAGGAAATAATTAAGGAAAATGTACACACCTTCAAATATATTGGTTTGTATTTTGGAGAGCTTCAGCCGTTTGGTACATTTGTGGAACTCCCATTTTGTTGGGCTTTTCACCCGATTTTCTGACATAATCCGTCTGTTTTTATTGCATAATAATAACAACAGAGAGACTAAATGCTGTCTGGACTCAGTAGAGCAATCCAGAGTTAATTTCTACGCTGGATTGTGTCTTACTTTTGACCCCATGGAAGGAGAAGGAATAGCGGCTACCATTTTGCTGTATTTGGAATAAGCCAGGATCTCAATCATTGCTTTATTTCCTTCTTATTTTTATCAGAACTTGCCATTTAAAACCTAATTAAAACAGATTCACTTCCTTCATTTCCAAAATATTATAAAAGTTGAATATCTTGTAAGGGGTCTATACGAACCAGGATGATATACAAAAAAAGATGGTTTGCACCTGATTTGTTAAATAATTTAATGCAACCGACCTATTGAGAACATTGAGATTCACTAAAAATAGAAAAAAACTGCCTATTTCTGATTTATTTAAAATTATACCTTTGGAAAACCAATTAAAAAGCATTTTCTAATTGCACATTTTCAATAGAACTTTTAAAGAGGAAATGTTAATTGTATTTATCAATACATTATTGAATAGTGCAATTTGAAAATATTTTTTCAAATCCTATTTCTAAATGGAGATTATTGTTCATTTCATAAACCAACAAGTGTTACAGTTTAACTAAAGAGAGCTGGTTACATCTGAGAGGCAACAGTTATTGGTTCCGCTGGTTTTCACTGCGCTTTGGGGGCCTGAAGGGTCACAGAAAAGGTCAACGGAGAGAGTCAAGTAAAAAGAACATGCAGATAAAATGTAAAATTTATTTGAAAATGCAAGGTGAAAAATTAAAATGAAATGCAATAAAGAACTATATTTTCAAATGTGTGATTACTAGGAAAGATATCTAAAATGTGTTTTTAAATCAAAATTTAGAAATATGATTTTAAAATATATTTTCAAATTGCAGTATCTAATGATGGATTAATTTGTACAATTTATAATTCTTCTTTAATGTATGATTAGAAAACTTCTAATTTTCTAACTTTCTAATTGTATAATACCATTTAAATGTTAGATTGGAAGCAGGGGCGGATGTAAAAAATTTGGGGCCCTAGGCACAGACAGTAATGGGGCCCTCTGAATTGAGAAGACAAAGCATAAAACAGACCCATTATACAGATACAGACATTTTAATAGA